ATTACTTAAATTCGGTTATTCGATTCTGGGCCTAGATCTGAGAACCGAACCGAGCCCATTGATTCTCGATGCAGATACCCGTTCAGGTATTTAACTTATGAAGAACCGCTCGATTCGGTTCGGTCCGATTCGATTTGGGACTTTTGGACACCCCTATTCAAAACCATTCAAAACCATAGTTTTAGTTTGATTCTTTGATTTGATGATTTTAACTTGCAGCCCTAAGAAAATACTAAAAGCCGAGGAAAATTCTTGAAGCAAAAGTTAGGTTGAAATTATTAAGCATTTGTTTAGGAGGCAATTTTCAAGTTATAAATTTTTTTTTTTTTTGACAATATGTAGTTGAAAAGTATGAAAAATTAGTAATCTCATAGAATGTATAATTGAAAATAATTTTAAGAAAAAAATAATTTTGAAAAAATCTTCCTGAAACAAGCTCTAAATAGTGCTAAAATAAGTTTAATAGTGCTTAAACGAGGTTAATTCACATTAGTCCATGTGACAATCAAGCTATTGTCACATTCTTCACAAAAAAAAAAAAAAATCATTTTAATTCATTTGAAAATCACTAAAAAATAGAATCTATTCATCCACATTGCTTAAAAATTGTTTATTCTAGTTGTTATTAGTATAGATCAGTTCAATACTGAATCTAGCCCGTCGAGGATAGGTACTTTAGGTCCACGTTTAACTTTAATTTTGATTTGATTGAGACTACTAGTTTTTTATAAATAAAAATTAAAAATGTACATATCCAATCTCAAATTTGAATGGCATTTAGTCCTATTAGCATCAATTCCCCCACATTGTAAATGGGTGGTTGACCAAAAAATTCAATGGGGATTATTTCAGCCCATTGAAGTGTTCTAATTGACAATAATAGCACTTAAATGGCTCACAATATGTTCTAGAGCAGCATTTTTATTTGTAGATTTGCATGGAAGAAATAAAGCATGAGAGAGGAAAGAGGTTCAATAATCATATAAAGCTTACATTAATTTATTTGAATAGATTTTTTTTTTTTGGTACAAATCAAACATACGTAGTTCAATGACTTTAGACATTTTATTTTATTGAGCCACGAAACATATAGTAGTTTATGAATAGATTAGAACGAGACTAAAGTCTCAAGGAAATCCACCACCTCCAATTCCACCACTAGCTCCTCCACCAAATCCACCACNCTCCAAAACCAGAACCACCCCCTACTCCCCCACCTCCACCTCCACCTCCACCTCCCCCAAACCCTCCTCCACCACCTCCACCAAGTCCACCGCCTGAACCTCCACCTGCACCAGCACCTCCACCAAAGCCAGCTCCAGCACCAGCACCTCCACCTAACCCTCCACCACCACCACCCCCTAAACCACCTCCACCACCAAGCCCTCCGCCTCCTAAACCCGGATGATGGAATGTTTTCTCATCATTGAAAGAACCCTCTGAGACAACAAGCTTTCTAGAATTGGTGGTGCAAACAAGAACACCAAGAACAACCAGAAGAAAAAATTTGGACGTCATCTCAATTTTCAAGTAAGCGATAGGCTTTGACTCTTGATTGATGAGAATTTAGGACACGAAAATGGGATTATATAATGCTACAAATCCATAATTATTGAAGTGGACCGCTGGATGATTTTAATTGCACCATCTCCTCATCCATAAAACCGTGTCCCAATTGTTAATGCAGTTAACTGTTTCTTTGAAAAAAGAAACCCTTTACCAGTCTGACTTTGAAAAAGAAACCCTCATATCCATATTCTGACCATTTTGTGCACATCTTTCTCTTTCCGAGGGTCGTCGTTTCCATGAGTTCTTGATCACATAGCAAAACTCTTGTAAATTATGATATAAATTGCAGATGAAAAAGATGAAGATGGACCTATATCAAGGATAACATGCACATGCATGGAATCCAGATTTACATTTAGAACTTGCTTGTTTATCAAGAAAAAAAATAGATGAATCATCCAAGATATCCAAAATTCGAATAGAGAATGTTTAGCGAAACTTAATTTTTTTTTTTCCTTATAAGTGCATAAATTAAGTTGGAAATAAGAAAGTATATCTCGAGCCTCGGGGCTAATAAGACTTTCAAACTTTTGTTACTTAAATATATAAAAATAAATTATTCAAAAAAGTTTTGAGACATAAAATTACTTAAAAGTGATCTTTTACTTTTTCTTAGATTCAACCAGAGGTGTTCTAATGCGACAACACTCATTCACTGTTCATAAATGTTGCCTATAATAAAAGTGAAGAACAAGTCCTTTTTTTTTGGCACTTTCTAATGTTTATGGTGAGTTGCTCACAACTGGTATCCTTTTACGAAATACAAAAAAAACTATGCATCAAGCATGTTGGAAAATAAACGCAATGTCCAATGCGGGAAAGTACAAATTTAAGGAGATGTTAGAATTAACAATGTAACTTTTTCTAGAGTTTTTACTTGGGCACTCTTGACGGGTCTCTAATATAGCTGATATATCTTTTGAATGTGTTGTTTCAGTTGCTCACAAGTCACAACTTGTAACCTTCAAAGCAATATATAACATTTTATGCATCAGGCACGTTGGGAGATAAACCAACGCGGAAAAGTAAAATTCTAAAGGGAAGTTTATATTAACGTTTCTAAATTTTTACTTGCGCACTCTTGACGGGTATATAATGTAGTTGATATCATTTGTTCAGAGGGTAATAATAAGTCATTCGATAAGTGGATGGTTTGCAACAATTTATTAAATAAATTAAGCCATATCCTCATGATGAAACTTTTTGTTATTACAATTGGAGGGATTTGTTTTATAAATTCTTAATGAAGTTCATTCAGTGTAAGTGTCTTAATATGTAACAAAGACACTATAAGAATTTCATCTATATGAATTTCGAGGAGGTTTATCCTTAAAATAAAGTTTGAGTTTCTTTCTAAAAATTTCATGAAAACGGATAAGCAAAGTTTCGATGGAACAAATAGAACTAGAGTGTTCACATCTGTGACATTTGCTAATGTTGTCAAAAGGAATGACGAGTTCGAAGTTTAATGTTTACACATAATGATCAA